AAGCACTTCTTTAGTGATATTATTTTTTCCAGATTAATTTTCAGCCCTATACTGAAGCACACTTCAGAGGTCTTTCAGAATTCCATTGACCTCTTCCAACCGTTCTTGTCTATTCCTTGCCTTTGGGGTTGGTTATTTCAGGAGATTCTCGGTTATCCAGATCATGGTTGTCCCAAAGGTTCTTTTTTTAAAAGGCAACTGGACTTCCTTGGTTTTCCTTGAAGATGTTTTCCTTCTCCTCCAAGAAGCTTCTTCAGTTCTGACAGAATGGCGGAGAATTCCGTCTCAGTCCGTCTCCCCCATTCAATCAGAACTGAAGAAGCTTCTTGAGGGAGGAGCAAAACGTCTTCAAGGAAAACCAAGGAAGTCCAGTTGCCTTTTTAAAAAAGGATCTTTGGGGACACCCCCCCCCCCCAAGGTAACAAACTTCAAAGATGTTTGAGATCCTCAGGAACGGATTGTGATTTCTATCTTTCACCCTTGCCTTTCTAGTCATAATCTGTCATCTTGTCCAGATCTGTCCCATGACTAAATTCTCTTTCTTTTATTTGCAACGTTGTGTGGTTGCAATGTTACCTCTGCCCTTTTTGCGTGTTTATGTGATGGATGCATGTACAAAACAAGCAGAACGTGTGAGCCAATGACGTGATGCTGACCTTGTCACTTGTCACACCGCCTTGCTGTGGCCACCTTGACTTGTATCTCTCTGGGCTTTCAAAGAGAGATTGATTAACAGGCCTGTAAGATGGTTGGTTTTAGGGACGCGGTGGCTCAGTGGCTAAGACACCGAGCTTGTCAATCAAAAGGTCGGCAGTTCAGCGGTTCGAATCCCTAGTGCGCGTAACATAATGAGCTCCCGTTACTTGTCCCAGCTTCTGCCAACCTAGCAGTTCGAAAACACGTAAAAAATACAAGTAGAAAAATAGGGACCATCTTTGGTAGGAAAGTAAACAGCGTTCCATGCGCCTTTGGCATTTAGTCATGCCGGCCACATGACCACGGAGACGTCTTCGGACAACGCTGGCTCTTCGGCTTTGAAACGGAGATGAGCACCATCCCTTAGAGTTGAGAACGACTAGCACATATGTGTGAGGGGAACCTTTACCTTTACCTTTAAGATGGTTGGGTTGGCCATAGCCAGCAAAATAAAATTAGTTCTTCAAACTAAATGCATTTCTTTTTCAACTGATTTAAAGGAAGCTTTAAAAAGCCCACCTGAAATTTTCAAAAATTTTGAAATCTGATTATTTTTTTTAAAGTATCCTCAATTCCTGATCCCATTCATCCTGTAGACCAGGGGTGTCAAACTCAAGGTCCACCTGCCAGATCCGGCCTGCGACATGGTCGGATCTGGCCCGCAGGGCTGTCCTGGAAACAGTAAGGAGCTGGTCCGCATTGCTTCAGTCCAGCCCATGCCGTCCTGTGGGACGAGCCTTCCACCCACTGATCCACTCACTGGAGAACCCTCGATTCCCTCACCAACCCTCCTGCCCCGCCCCCACAGTCACCACCCACATGATTGATGTAAAAATGGCCACACCCCCGGGCCAAGCCCAGTCAGCCGCAACCACCCTGGCCACGCCCCTCTCCCCCCAGCCCTGGAGGACAATCACAATGTTGATCCGGCCCTCAATGAAATCGAGTTCGACACCCCTGCTGTAGACTGTCAAATAGCTTCTTGTCTGGGAGCGAAGAATTTAAATATCTAATTTAGTTACCTGCATGCACACTCCCACATGATATGTCAGGATTATTCTTAGATATTTGAAAATATTTTTGGAATTTCCCCACCCATCCACCTCACTCACGTTCAGTGGCATGAGATGAATCCGAATGTTTGCCACACGCCATGTGTAAGGCAATTTCCAGAATGTTCTTTCCCTGAATCATTATGATGTAATGCATTCACATGTAAATACTTGCAGTATCACACCCATGAGCCATGTGCGGTGTGGCTTATGTCATAAACTGACCCAGTGACACATTCAAATGGCTAACCATCTAGAAATTGTCACATGGTATTAAGCTGAGCAAAGATGTTAAACTGGTTTAGAATATTTATATTCCTGTCCAACTCGGACACATAATTTTGGACGGGTTACAACAAATTCACCAAAAAACAAGAAAATGAAACTTCCTGTAAACAAAATGAAGAAGGAAATTCAAATAATCACAATACAATAACTGAGGCCCCGTATAACAAGATGACAGAAATTCTCAAAATTATTGGGAAGCGAAGGCAAGGAAAAATTTAGACAAACTCTGGCTTTAGACAAACAGGAAAATGAAAGCTGTAAAATGTTGAGCTGTGAAATTTCTTTGCCCCTTCAGCAATAATTTAGTTTGTCTGATCTGGGGCGTTTCTGCTGCTTTAGTTGAAATTCGAGACATCACTTTGTGATTTATTTTTAACACCCCTCAAGGTATTAGATTGTGCAAGAGATTAAGTGCTGTGTATAAAAGGAGGAATTTTTACAAGGTTCTTCATTAAGAAATGTAGAAGCTGTTTCTATTTCCTGCACCAAGGGAGAAAAACATGTGTAGCTTTTAGGTGTTGAGTTATGATTCCAGATGATTAGGTGTATTTTGGAATAAAAGCGTCTTTTTTTTTTTTTTAGGTGACCAAGATTGAGAAATGTTGCTCTAGGCCAGAGGTGTCCAACCCTGGAAACTTTTAAGACTTGTGGACTTCAACTCCCAGAATTCCTGGATGGAATGCTGGCTGGGGAATTCTGGGAATTGAAATCGACATGTCTTAAAAGTTGCCAAAGTTGGTCATCCCTACTCTACACTTTGAAAAAACTTTGGACAACCTTCTTGTGTTCTGTAGTGATGGCTTAATTTGTGACAGAGTAGGGCTTATATGTGCAAGGAATTCAGTTTCCTACTTCTGTGCTTCCTTCAAATTTCTATTTGGAGATACTTTTATTTTTGTTAGGTGCACTGCAAACTCTTTACTTCAGCCCTGCAAAATTTTGTATACTACAAAATACAGGCAGTCCTTGACGTATGACCACAATTGAGCCCAAAGTTTATGTTGCTAAGTGAGAAATTTGTTAAGTGAGTTTTGCCACATTTGTTAAGTGAATCACTGCAATTGTTAAGCGAGTTTTGCCACATTTGTTAAGTGAATCACTGCAGTTGTTAAGTGAATAACACAGTTGTTAAGCGAATCTGGCTTCCCCATGGACTTTGCTGGTCAGAAGGTCGCAAAAGGGGATCACATGACCCTGGGACACTGCAACCGTCATAACTGTGAGTCCATTGTCAAGCATTCTAATGTAAATCACGTGACCATGGGGATGCTGTCATGGTCATAAGTGTGAAAAATGGTCATAAGTCACTATTTCAGTGCCATTTTCATTTCGAATGGTCACTAAGTGGACTGTTGTAAGTCAAGGACGACCTGTAGAAGTCTACAATATTTGTAGAGGTTTGCTTTAGAGAGGTTATTTTAACTAAGACAAATGAGCAATTATTTTTACGAATAAGAATGTTACCATGCCTGCAGAATCTTTTTCTGCCTTTGATGCTTGGAAATCAAAGCTTTGGGGCAGTTGTCTTCAGCCTGATGTTGTCCTCTGGATGGCACATTTCCCAAAATTGTTGGGTGTGTACTATGCATTTCATGTTTGCTTCCAACCATTTTCCTATAAATATAGGTTAGTATGTGATATGTGACATCACACAATGCATCGTGTTAGGGCTTCAGCGGTAATACATCCTGAATCTTTAGGTATACAGGTAGTTCTCTAGTTAAGACCACAACTGAGTCCGAATTTCCATTGCAGATCTCCAAGGTGGTTATTAAGTTAGCCACTCCTGATTTTATGACCTTTTCCCCACAGTCGTTAAGCAAATCTTGCCACCGTCTTAAATACATACCGGGGACCAAGTTATCAGAGGGGATGTTAACAATCATCATAATCATAAGTTTATTTGTCAAGCATATATAACATAACAGGGAAAAGTATAAACATAATTTGAATACATGAAAAGAGTAAGTAAAAAGGAATATTAGGACAGGGACGGTAGGCACGCTGGTGCACTTATGCAGGCCCCTTACAGACCTCTTAGGAATGGGGTGAGGTCAACAGTAGACAGTTTAAGGTTAAAGTTTTGGGGGTTTGGGGAAGAAACTACAGAGTCAGGTAGTGCATTCCAGGCATTGACCACTCTGTTACTGAAGTCATATTTTCTGCAGTTGAGTTTGGAACGGTTTACCTTGAGTTTGTATCTATTATTTGCTCGTGTATTGTTGTGGTTGAAGCCGAAGTAGTCATTAACAGGAAGGACATTGTGAGGGATAATTTTATGTACTATGCTTAGGTCAGACTGAAGTTGTCTAAGCCCAAAATTTGGAGTCTGGTGGCATAAGATATTTTATGCCACCAGACTTACAACAATGGTTGTAAGTTTTTTCCAGTGCCGTTGTAACTTTGAACGGTCACTAAATGGATGGTTATAAGTCAAGGACTCCCTGAAAACTACAAATGTAATGTGTACATGGAGCAGCTGGAAGAAATGATGTGCTAGTGCAAATCTAAACGAAAAAAACCCCAATAAGATAGACTATGATCCTGTATGTATTATTGGTATATAAAATGATGATTTGACCAATTTTTCTTCTTTTCTGTCCATGTAGCAAGTACAGCCGAAATAATTACTGAATTGCTGTGCTTTATATTTCGGATAAAATATTTTGGATAAATATTTCGGATAAAATAGAATTACCCTGTTTTATATTTCAGATTCTATATTTTTAACCGGCATAGGACTTTCATATAAAGCATATTCTTGAAACCGATGGTTTAAAACAGTTTCACTTAAAAGTCGGGGACAGTTAGATTCGACTTTTAATTTCAGAGTGTGCTAAGGACTTGGATTCATTCTGCAATCTCCTATGAAACGTGTTACGACTCTGTGTAATTTATTCCTGAAATATGGGTGTATATTTCATGAGATTAATGTGTGTTTTTATGCTCTTCTTCTTCTGACAGCTAAAAGCTGACGTCGTGCCAAAAACAGCAGGTAAGAAACCCCTTAAAATGATGTTTTTAAGATTTGCTCGGAGAGCATCCCAGCAAGAAAATGAAGGGGAATTGAAATGCTTTTAAATAATGAATCAATAGTTTCTTCACAAACAGAATTCATCTCCCTTACTTGAAGCATATTCTTCATGCGGTTTTTCTCCTTGGGTTAGGACGCTCTGATTCCGCTTCTCTAGTTAAAACTGTAAGGATGTTTTTAATAATCATAGGTAATTGTTTATTGATCTGGTACCTAACTGTCAAAGACTGGAAGCTTGATAGGGATTTTTTGCAGAAAAGAAAAGAAAAGACCATATTGATGATTTATGGATCCGGAGATTAAAAAGATGTCTTAAAAGGGAGGGGAAAAGAGCAAGATAGCTGATAGCTGATAGATGGATAGATAAATGATTAGATAGATAGATAATGGATGATAGAGGATAGTAGATTGATAGTAGATTGATAGATGGCAGATAGATAGATAGATAGATAGATAGATAGATAGATAGATAGATGATAGATAGATAGATAGATAGATAGATAGATAGATAGATAGATAGATCTCAGTGATGGCTAACCTTTTCCAGATTCAGTGCCAAAAGCGCACATGTGTGCAAATACGCATGTGCATACCCGAATCCCCAAAATGCAATGCTCATGTAGCCCCCGTGCATGCACCCTGCTCCCATGCATGCATGTGTGCCTCCTGCATGTGCCCGCCCCGTTCCCGTGCATGCATGCACATCCCATGCATGCGCCCCCCCATGCATGTGCATGCAGCCCCCCACACGCCCCCCGCCCCCCACACAGAGACCCGAAGACCAGCTGGCCTGCGGGAAGTGCACACGCATGCGGAGCGGAGCTGAACTGGGCTGACGGCTCACATGCCATCAGGGTGCTGCGTGCCATAGGTTTGCCATCACGGTGATAGATAGATAGATAGATAGATAGATAGATAGATAGATAGATAGATTAGAGGAAGATAGATAGATAGATAGATAGATAGATAGATAGATAGATAGATAGATAGATAGATAGATAGATAGATAGATAGATAGATTGATTTCATTTCAAATTCATCATTCATTCATTCATTCATTCATTCATTCATTCATTCATTCATTCATAGATGATACTTTTCCCAGGACTTTTGCTTCTTGATGGTCATGTTGGACCAGTACATCCACCTCAGTTGTAAAACTAGTTCTGAAGGCTTAGTCTTAGCCCACAGTGACTTCGGCTGTCAACCCTAGACCACCTGTGGTAATATTAAAAAGTCCCCAAAGTAAAAAAAAAATGAAGGAGGGCGGAGGCAGAGAAACCAGGAAGTGGCAGAGGAAGCAGTGGGTTTCCTTGCCGTTACAGAGAAGGCGAAAACATTGTCCTACATTAAACAGCCCTGATTGTTTTAGGTTGTCGCTTGCCTGCCATCCAGATGAGAGCATTTCCAGGCCTAGTGTCTGGCTGGCCTTGCCTGCACAAACCAAGTTCTGAGCATCTTTTGATAGAGGCAGTTGCTGTGTCCTGCGTGTTAAAAAGCGTTCTATGGCCCACGCATTTCAGATACGCAGTTCTTCTAATAGCAGACAGAAGAGTGCAAAAGACTGTTAGCACCATATCTGTGGCGCTCTAGAAGTCCATGCAGGGTGGATTTCATTTAAATCAAGTTGATTGAAATCACTAGTAAAAAGGCTTGATTTAAATCAACTCGATTTACTGTATTTTTTCGGAGTATAAGACACACCTTTTTCCCCCCTAAAAGGGGGTGAAAATTTGGGTGCGTCTTATACACCGAATGTAGCCCCGCCCACCCACTGGCTCCTACCCTTTGGCCTCTGCCTCCCAGCAATTTACCTCCTTGCAGCAAGCAGCAAGAAGAAACAGCCCATTTCAGCTTCAGCACAGCCTAATTGGCACAAGTTGATTGTCCCTTGGATCGGCCTCCCGACTCTCAGCTGTTTCAGACTGCAGGGATTGCCATTGCCTATTGCTGCGCGGGCCTCTGCTGCTTGCTGCCAGGAGGTAAATTGCTGGGAGCAGATATTTTTTTCTTGTGCTAATCAAGCTATGCTGAAAACGAAAATGAAAGTAAAATAAAAAACTATTTGCTGTTTGCTGCGAGGAAGCAAAATTGCTGGGAGGCAGAGGCAGATTTCTTTTTCTTGTTTTCCTCACCAAAAAAGGTAGGTGCGTCTTATAGTACGCAGCATCTTATACTCCGAAAAATACAGTAAATCATGGTTTTTAAAGAGCATGCTCTTTAAAAACCATGATTTACTGTATTTTTCGGAGTTTAGTGACCTCAGTCGGTAGATTTTCAGAAGATCGGAAGAAGATTCAGAAGATTTTCAGAAGATCGGAAGATTTTCACCTCAATTTTCAGAGTTTAGTGACATCAATCGGAAAGCGTTTGCTAAGAGAAATGGTCACTGTTTTTATGATCTCACTCCAGTTCTCCTTTGCTTTACAGACTTGCAAAGGTTGTAAAATGTGAGGATTGGTCACCAAGTGAACTTTTCAAATCCCCGTTGTAATGGTCACTAAACAAAGCAATCGCTAAACAAGGACTGCTTATATTTTGTTTTTCGGGATTTCTGCAGCCCTTGCCATGTATTACATGGATTATCACATCGCTGAAGTTTCTTTCCTTAGTAATAAATGTTGCTTTTTTTTCCTTCTCTCCCCACCCCCACCCCTCTTAGAAAATTTCAGAGTTTTATGCACTGGAGAAAAGGGCTTTGGGTACAAAGGATCCACCTTCCATCGAGTGATACCTTCGTTCATGTGCCAGGTAATAAAACCCCCAAATGTCCATTTTGCAAAGTTAATTGTGAATCAGACAAGTGATTTTATGTACCATGTTTCCCCGAAAATAAGACCCTGTCTTATATTTTTTAGAATCCTGAAATAAGCGCTTGGCCTTATTGCCATATGCTCAAAAGCCTGATTGGGCTTATTATCAGGGGATGTCTTATTTTGGGGGAAACAGGATAATGGGGTGAAAGGTACCTTAACAGCTCGAAATAGGAAGGAAGATCACTTTCAGTTACCAAGCTTGGGAACTGGATGTGGAAGAAAAGATCTCTCTGTGTCCTGCCATGCCCCCATCGGGAGTCTGAATCTGAGATGGAAGACGAACAGCTGACAGAGATTGGGAGAGTGGCTCTGTTGGCTGTGGAGAAAACTGGGGAAGGGCAGGCTGGGCAAAGTAGGGGAGAGGTAGAACAAGGGAGAGTGGTTCAGATGAAGACCAAGGTCCACCCCCGCCTCATCCCACGGTGTGCAGGCAAGAATGCAGAAGAGAGCAACGTGGGTTGCGTGGCTTACGAGGAAGGAGAGGGCCCCGATTCCATTCACAAGGCACACCTGGGGATGGAGTTTAAAGGAGAGGAAGTTGGGAGGGGAGTTTGTCGGGAACAAACGCTGAATTCATCTAGTGTTGAGAGTTGTGGCCTGCATTCCTGGCATTCCTCCTGACTGTTTGAATTAGTGCTGTGCTTCTGTGTGCTTATGTTGTCTTGCTGGAATTATTGCTGTGATTCTTTGCTTCTGGGGCTCATTATATTGCCCTGCTGGAGGGATTGATTGCAGTCATTCTGCTTACAGCATTTGGACTGGAGTATCTGCAGCCAGAAGCTGCTGCAGGTTTGTGGGAGAGCTTTTCTCCAGGCGGGAGAATAAACGGGACGTTGGGAGCAAAGTTGGTGCCAATAAAGGGACTCATACTGGTTCTCTGGCTGTGTTGCATTCATGCCACGCCCCAGGTCATCACATATCCTCTTCTCTTGTCACTAACCACAAATAAATATCTAATGGAGATATTCTCTATCATCCAGATAATGGTTGTCCCAAAGGTGCTTTTCTAAAAAGCAACTGGATTTTCTTGGGGTTTTTTTTTCCCCCTTGAAAACATTTCGCTTCTCATCCAAGAAGCTTCTTCAGTTCTGAAGTGTCTTGGATGAGAAGCAAAATGTTTTACACAGGAAAAAACCGGTTAAGTGAGTTTTGTCAGTTTTATGACCTTTCTTCCCACGGTTGTTAAGTGAACCACTGTAGCTGTTAAGTTAATGACACGACTGTTAAGTGAATCTGGCTTCCCCACCAACTTTGCTTGTCAGAAGGTCGCAAAAGGGGACCCTGGGATGCTGCAACCATCTAAGTACATGCCAGTTTCCAAGCGTCCGAATTTTGATCACATGACCGTGTGGGAGATGCCATAAGTCACTTTTTTCAGTACCGAACAATCACTAAATGAATAATTGTAAATTGAAGACTACCTGCATACAAATGTAATCAGCTTTGTAGACCTTAAAAATACTGGAAGATTTTAAAGAAGAGATTGGATAACTATTTGTCTGAAATGGTATAGGTTTTCCTGCCTAAGCAGGGGGTTGGACTAGAAGACCTCCAAGGTCCCTTCCAACTCTATTCTATTCTATTCTATTCTATTCTATTCTATTCTATTCTATTCTATTCCATTATTCATTCCATTCCATTCCATTCCATTCCATTCATTCCATTCCATTCCATCCCCATCCCCATTCCCATCCTCATCCTCATCCTCATCCTCATCCTCATCCCCATCCCATTGGCTAAATATTTTAACTTGAGGATAAGAGCTTAAATAATTCATAAATGACCTCACCTGTAAATATCATCAGTGGTCCAGTAGAAATGTATGATACATCCCACATTCTGGATATATTTGAATTCTGTTGTCAGGTTTTCTAAATAGTATGGTCATCTGAAGTATTGCCACTTAAAAGTAAGTTGCATTTAAGTGTTTATTATAAAGAGCTGTAATAATGTCTTATCATTCCACAATTTACACAATTGTGTCTGGGTGGCAGAGCTATTTAAAACAATTAAAGGTACTTTGATCTGTCAGCCTCACTAAATGATAGGTGTGCTCCCAGGCATGTTAAGTTTTGGGAATGAGGCATACAGATTTTGCACATAATGCGTTAAGTTGATTTCCGGGACTTTGAAGCCAATTCCTATGCAATTCCAACTTCCCAAAATTTGTTGGCGACTCCCATAAATCATTAAAGGAGCCAATGGAACAATTGCTATGAATTAGGGATATTTGTTTACACATCCTTCTGGAGGAAATTCCGAAATTGGGGAAAAGAAGGTCAAATGAGTTAAACATCCTTCTAGCACTTTTCAGTGTAATAACCGTGAACCACTCCAAAAATTCTTACTGAGTTGAGGAGCCCTTCTAAAAGTCAATAAATTGTACATTTCAGTATGTTTTTTTTTAAAAAAGGAAATTGTTAAATGTATGGGAAGTGGGATAGGATGGGATGGGATGGAATGGAATGGAATGGAATGGAATAGAATTAGAATAGAATAGAATAGAATAGAATAGAATAGAATAGAATAGAATAGAATAGAATAGAATAGAATAGAATAGAATAGAATAGAATAGAATAGAATAGTTGGAAGGGACATTGTAGATCCAACCCCCTACTCAAGCAGAAAACCCTACATAACTTCAGACAAATGGCTGTCAAATCTCTTCTTAAATACTTCCAGTGTTGGAGAATTCACAACTTCTGGAGGCAAGTTGTTCCACTAGTTAATTGTTCTAACTGTCAGGAAATTTCTAACTGTCAGAAAAATTTCTTCTTTCAACAGCCATCCTTGGGGTAGATTGGGCCAAGGGAATTGCTCCCAGTTCCACTGGAGCCTTAATCTTTTGTTGGCGCTTACCGACAAGGACGTGGTGGCTCAGTGGCTAAGATGCTGAGCTTGTCGATCAAAAGGTCGGCAGTTCAGCGGTTCACATCCCTAGTGCCACGTAACGGGATGAGTTCCCATTACTTGTCCCAGCTTCTGCCAACCTAGCAGTTCGAAAGCACATAAAAAATGCAAGTAGAAAAATAGGGACCACTTTTGGTGGGAAGGTAACAGCGTTCCGTGCGCCTTCGGTGTTTAGTCATGTTGGCCACATGACCACTGAGATGTCTTCGGACAGCGCTGGCTTTTCGGCTTTGAAACGGAGATGAGCACTAGAGTCGGGACGACTAGCACATATGTGCGAGGGGAACCTTTACCTTTAAGAGTACCAAGTGCTTTTGTGAGTCTCTGTGACTTTAAACAAGAGATAAGCAGGTTTCTCCCTCTGAATTCAGGCTAGCAACCGCACAAAAATGAGCAGATTCTATTTTTGATTCTGTTTTCTGTTATTACTTATTCCTAAGAATTTCATAGCTCTGCCTATATTCAGGCAAAGGATGAAGAGCTGGCTTTCCTCATACTTTGCAACTGATTCCATCTTCCTGATTTAGGTTTTAAATGCATATGGGTGATCCTCGACTTACGACCACAATTGAGCCTAAACTTTCTGTTGTTAAGTGAGACTTTTGATAAGTGGAGTTTTGCCCCATTTTACGACCTTTCCCATCACCATCGTTAAGCAATTCACCCCCATTGTTAAGTTAGTAGCACAGTTGATATGCGAATCTGGCTTCTCCGTTGTCAGAAGGCCACAAAAGCATCTGAATTTTGATCACGTAACCGCGGGGATGCTGCAACGGTCATAAGTGTGAAAAACAGCCACAAATCACTTTTTTCAGTGCCGTGGTAACATTGATCGGTCACTAAATGAACTGTTATAAGTCAAAGACAACCTGTATAGTATTTTAAAATATCAGATTAGTACCTGATTTTTATTTTAAAGAAAAGTGGGATAAACAGCATTAACTACTGTATTTTTCGGAGTATAAGACGCACCGGAGTATAAGATGCACCTTCGTTTTTGGGGAGCAAAATAAGAAAAAAGCTGATTAGCAGGTGGATCGGCCTCCCGAAATACCCCCAATCAGCTGTTCCTAGAGGTGAATTTTAGCAACAGGTTCGTTGGTTGTGAGCTCTGTGCCTTGCCTCTTTTCTCCTTTGAAAGCCTCCGAAACAGAGCTTTTTTTCTGAAGCTGTTTGGAGACTTTTTTTCTGAAGCTTCTTTCAGAGGCTTTTTTTCTAAAACTCTTTTTGGAGGCTTTTTTTCTGAAGCTTTATTTCTGAGGCTTTTTTTCTGAAGCTTCTTTCAGAGGCTTTTTTTCTAAAGCTCTGTTTGGAGGCTTTTCTTCTGAAGCTTCGTTTCTGAGGGGTTTTTTCTGAAGCTTCTTTCAGAGGCTTTTTTCAGCCTCAGAAACCTCCGTTTGAAAGCCTGGGCGGGGCTACATTCGGAGTATAAGATGCACCCAGATTTTCACTCTCTTTTGGGGGGGGAAGGTACGTCTTATACTCTGAAAAATACAGTAAATTGGTTACCTATGGTAGCTGTACAGTGAATCTTCTCATTTAGCAAAACTTTTGTTATAAAGATAAAGGACATCTGATTGCTGAATATTTCAGTCTTCTAGGATTGCGTTTCTTTAATACATGTATGTAATTAGACAGAAACTTGTTTTTTTTTCCCTCCCAGGCTGGTGACTTTACGAATCACAACGGTACGGGAGGAAAATCTATATATGGCAGTCGCTTTCCGGATGAAAATTTCATTCTTAAACATGTTGGACCCGGTAAGCAAGTTTTCCCATCTATGCTTCTGGATGTCGGCATGTGTTTGTTATAGAACTGAAGTCTCAGAATTTATTTCATTGTTTAGGGAGCCACTTCTGAGATGTAAAAGGAGGAGTGTGGCAGAATCTGGGGAAGGAGTCAAAAGAGGGATCAGCCCAGAATCCCTACATAGCCACAAGCAAACTGAATTCAACCTCCCTTGAACCCTAAACTTGGCGATCACCAGTTGTCAGGATTCTGACCGATGCCCTAATTAAATCATGAGCCTCACACCAGACTTCAAAAGAAATCCAGTTATTTATTAGGAGCGTCATGTCATCACATTCCAAGTGAAGGCAACTCTGACCTCACTTAATTCATGTCCCGGCTCTGACGCTGTTTCCCCCTCCCGCCGAAGTGTGTCACATTCCCCAACAAAGCAATTTCGCGGGTTGTAGAATCCCTCCCTCTGGCCACTGTGTGTCTCCGTGGAGATGGCCTTGACATAGAGATGGCTGGAATGTGCTTCTGTTTTGACTGAAGTGCGATTTGCTCACTGCAGCTGCGAGGATCTGTTCCCTATCTCCCTGCCTATGGCAATTCGAGAGCAGGTCAGGAAGACTTTGTGACTTGACACATATCTGTTCTCATGTATTAGGAAGGAAATACAGCATTGTGTATTCATTTTATTCTACCAGATATATGATTTTTTTGTATGATTGTAGACTTATGCCAATCACACTATCAATATCTAAAATGCTTAGATGAAATTGGGTCCTTACCAAACATTTTGGATGTTGACTGATGGAAGATGGAGTTCATAACTTCTCAAAGGTGGCATGTTGACAAGTCTTGTGGGTGGGTGGTTTTTGCCAATCAGAATTTGGGAGTTCATGTTTTGTATTTCTAAAGGCAAATAGGTAAATTATTCTAACATTTAAAGAAAATGAGAGAAAGAAGGAAGCGGTACCGGATTCCGGCACAAAGGAGAAATTTAATTGGTCCTTCTTATGAAGGTTCTCTGACAAACGCTACTATCTGATTCTTCCCAGCAAATGTTTGTGAGTTTTAGCTCCAACAATGGGCTGCATTGTGACTTCTTGGGGAATATCTTTCCCTAAATTTGAATATCGCAGTGGCTCAGTGGTAAGTCGCTGAGCTTGTTGATCGAAAGGTCGGCAGTTCAGTGGTTCGAATACCTAGTGCCGCATAACGGGGTGAGGTCCTGTTACTTGTTCCAGCTTCTGCCAACGTAGCAGTTCGAAAGCACGTAAAAAATGCAAGTAGAAAAATAGGGACCACATTTGGTGGGAAGGTAACAGCGTTCCGTGCGCCCTCGGTGTTTAGTCATGCCGGCCATATGACCACGGAGATGTCTTCGGACAGCGCTGGCTCTTTGGCTTTGAAACGGAGATGAGCACCGCCCCCTAGAGTCGGGAACGACTAGCACATATGTGCGAGGGGAACCTTTACCTTTTCTTTTAAGCTTGAATACAAGACCCCCAAAGTAAAAGAAGAGGCTTCATGCTAAACCTCTCTCCATGATTGGCTGTTCTCTGCTTTTGTTTAGCAAAGTTAAATCGCCCTCTTGTTTTCTTTGCAGGTATCCTGTCAATGGCCAATGCCGGCCCCAACACGAATGGATCTCAGTTCTTCATTTGCACGGCCAAAACAGATTGGTAAGCATTAAGGGATACATAAAACATGACTCGGGGTGTTCTTAATGTAATCAGTTCGATTGATTAATGCTTAGACTACGGCATCCAGTTTTGGTCAGCCCAATACCAACAAATATGTTGAGATTTTGGAACGAGTTCAGAGAAAATGGGAACAAGCTTGCCTTCAATCAATGGAGCAGCTTGACTTCAGACATTGTGAGAGCTTCATCACTGGAAGCTTTTGAGAAGAGACTGGATTGCCATCTGTCAGAAATGGTGTGGGGTCTCCTGAACCTGTGGGTTGGACTAGATGACTTACAAGGTCCCTTCCAACTCTGTATTCTGTTAAGAGCAACAAAGACGATTAGAGGCCTAGGAGCTATAATATATGAAGAATGGTTGTAGGAATTGGTTGTGCCTAGTTTAATGAAAAGTGTTCTGACCTAGGCTTCCCTAAAAAGCACAAAGCAGAATCCTGGTCCCAACTAAAACCCCTTTTATTAAACAAACAGTGAAATCCTCTCATTCATCTTCAACAAAGTCTTTCAAGGGAGAATTTACAGTCACAGACCTTATCTTTGAGAGCTGCCAGGCTGATATCTTCAAAACTTGGCAAGGAGTCTCGGACAGTCACAAACCAATTAGGCGAACTAATTGTCTCCTGCAAACTCCACTCCCCTTTCGCTCCTCTTTTATTCCCTCTGGGAGGGGCCATTCATTGTCCACCTGTGGCCTTACTCCCAAGTCGACCCTTGTTCTTTAGCTGTTCCCTTTGTCTGGCAACTCTGCACATGCGCACACTGGGAACAGGCTCCAGCTGTTTGTCTGCCTCACTGATGTCTGACTCTGAAAGCAACTGATAACTGTCATACAGCCCTAGCCCCATCTCTGCCTCCGAAGCAGAGCGCTCATCAGAGCCTTCCCCAGACTACAGGACTGGCCCATGTTCCTCCCCAACCTCCTCACTGTCTGAATCTGCTGCCAGCTGGTCGCTGGCAAGCCACAACAAAAAGAAGAACTGTGGGTGTCATGATAGCGGTCTTCCAATATTTGAGTGTTAACTTTTTCATGCATAAAATTTCTTTCCATTGGACCCTACATAAAACCTTAATGAGACCACACCACATCCAGTGTTGGTCACCACATTACAAAAAAGATGTTGAGACTTTGGGGAAAAAAGTGCAGAAAAGAGCAACTAAAATGATTAAAGGCCTGGAGACAAAAACATTAGTGAAGAATAGTTGCAGGAATTGGGTGTGTCTAGTTTAATGAAAAGAAGGACGGGGGGGGGGGGTTATGTGTGACATGATAGAGGTCTTCCAATATTTGAGGGTTGTCATAAAGAAGAGCTACAGGTTTGGGGAAGTGTGTGTGAAGAAAATCTGAGCCTTTTGATTTCTTTTTTAATTACCATATTTTTCGGAGTATAAGATGCACTCCCCCCCCACAAAAGAGGGTGAAAATTGGGGTGTGTCTTATACACTGAATGTAGCCAAAAATGTGAGGCACGGAGGAGGCGATGGTCTGTGGCAATCCCTGCAGCCTGGAACAACTGATTGGGGGTATTCCGGGAGGCCAATCCACCCGCCAGTCAGCTGCTCATACTGAATCAGGCTGCAATAATGTGAGGAACTGACCTGGCTGTTTGCTATTTGCTGCAAGGACTCAGAGTTTGCAGCAGCAATCACATCCAGAAAGTACACACAAGTAATTGATTCAGCAGGATTCAATAACTTCTCTTTATATATAATATAATAATACAATACGAAAAGCAGGTTTTCCAACACAAGCAAAACACAAGCAGAGGAGAGGAGTTTCAGTTATAGTTTCAGAGATCAACACAGCATGCAGCTTTAGGACAGTTGACCTACGCCACGCCCAAGCTCCTTGCTGTCTCTTTCCTTGTTGCTCACACAACAAATACTGTTTCAGTTTCCAATCAGCCCTCAACTCTCTCACACACTGACAGGACGCTAGCCAGATGAATACCTACTGCTGGTAGGCATCCCCAAAAACTAAGGTGCGTCTTATACTCCGGAGCATCCTATACTCTGAAAAATATGGTACTCCAGGTGTTCAGTAGAAGCCTACTGTCCATCAAGTTATCTTTGATTTTGTTTACTCAGCTAGAGTTTAGTCAAAGACCATCCTGCTGATCAATGATCTTTAGACTTTTGGGAGAAGGGATTGCCCTGCTGACCAATCTTTGAGCTGTGTCAACATTTCAACTTTCTGTTGCAAAAGCATTTTTTTCTGACAATCCTGCCTCTCAGCCTTCCTACCAAAGTTCAGCGTTTGTCTAATTTTTCCAGGGCCGATCTTAATTTTAATTTTTTAATATTTTTAATTTCAACCTTTCTGTTTGTCTGCAAACAGTAGCCATGGTGAGAGTTTTAGCCTGGCGCATCTGGGGCAGACCAAGTTGGTAAAAAGTTATTCTGAAGTGAAAACAAACCAAAAGAGGGGGTCTCTTGCCTTCTCACCCTTAACTACAGGTAGTCCTCGACTTAACAACAGTTCATTTAGTGACCGAAGTGGTTTATGCTGAAAAAAGTGACTTATGGCCATTTTTCACACTTATGACCATTACAGCATCCCCATGGTCACGTGATTAAAATTCAGACCCTTGGCAGCTGACTCATATTTACGACCGACACAGCATTTTTCTGAGGATTTCTCAGCCTGTATCCCCAACAATGACATGCATTTGCCTGCCTCACATTGAATTTAAAACTTTCTTAAGGATAGCCTATGTGGATCTGTTGTGCTGTAAATTATCAATGTGGCTTTGCTAGAATTATACTTTTTTTTATTTTGTTTCCAATCAATAACTACCTTCCTACTTTGAAGAGGCCTTCATGTGCAACATTGTTCCAAACCATGTTATCTCACTCATTGTTTGCTGGATGGTTTCAAATTAAGTCTTGCTAATTCTGGAATGCTGCCAGAACTTTCCTAACCCATGTTAGTTCAGCTTTTTATCCCGTGGAGAATAGTAGTTTTAAAATAAAAACAGGAAGGGAAGTTGCAAAAGTTTCTTAAAACGTCCGTTTTTAATAGGCTGTCACAGAAGTAGCTTCACAACAGTACTTTATACATCAACATTAACTAAAACATATGAAGAATGATTGCAAGAATTGGATATATTTATTCTAGTGGGGGAAAAAAGAATTAGGGGTGACACGATAGCAGTGGTCCAATATCTAAGAGGCTGCCACAAGGAAGAGGGGATCCACCTATTTTCTAAAGCACCAGAAGGCAAGACAAGAAACAATGGGTGGAAACTAATCAAGGGGTGAAGCAACCTAGAATTAAGGAGAAACTTCCTAACAGTGAGGACCAGAGAAATGGCTTGCCTTCAGAAGTTGTGGTTCTCCATCACTGGAGGTTTTTAAGAAGAGATTGGATGACCAATTTGAAATGGTATAGGCCAGGGCAGGGATCAGCAACCTGCGGCTCTGGAGCTACATGTGACTCACCCCTCTGCTGCGACTCCCTGTCACTCAAAATATATGTCACAACCACCGATGTGCGACGCCCACCAGCACTCAATTTATTGAGCTTCTCAACCCCCAGTAGGCCATGAATAAATCCAAGAAAAGAAAAGTTTCTGAAGAAAACAGAATGTTTAATTCAACGACATATGCTAGTTTTGTGGCCGCTCAAGAAATAGTCAGGCACGGGAAGGGTTTTGTGGCTCCCGGTGTTTTCTTTTCTGTGGGAAATGGGTCCAAATGGCTCTCTGAGTGTTTAAGGTTGCAGACCCCCTGGGCCAGGATCTCCTGCTTGAGCAGGGGTTTGGACTAAAAGACGTTGAAGGTCCCTCCAAACTCTGTTATACTGATATTCTGTGATTTGTCTGGTTTTGTTTTTGTTTTTGTTTACATTGCAGGCTGGATGGAAAGCATGTTGTGTTTGGCCACGTCAAAGAAGGCATGGACATTGTGAAAAAAATTGAAAGCTTTGGGTCCAAGAGCGGAAAGACTTCAAAGAAGATAGTCATTACCGACTGTGGCCAGCTGTGATATCATTCAACCTGTGACCTCAAGATGTCTTCACTGAAGAATCCGAGATGCCTCAAAACTATTTACTTAGAGATTTCTCAGTTAATCTCCTCAGACACCGCTGAAGTACATGAAGAAGTCCAATTTGAACCACCTTGAACTCTTAATTTCAATAACCTGTATCACTTTTCAATACCCAAATTAAATTTTCTATCCACAGTAGCTTTAGTAGCAGAAAATGTGAAAACCATAGCTAGTTGGATTGTATTAAAAGGTTATCCTGCGGCTGGTTAAATTGGTACTTGAATTTTTTCCCCATTTCAAGGGAAAGTAGGTTTGTGTAGGCCATTAAGTCAAGATGGCTTCATAGTAGCTTCTTCCCCTTTAAAAAAACAAACTCTTAAAAAAGAATATATTGCCTCTCAGTTAAAGCCCTTCATGTTTCCGTGACTTGAAAAATCCTCCAAGCCGCAAAGATGGAATTAATGGATTTCCTACAGATTTCCTGAAACTGCTCCTGTGCCTGGATCTATAACAAGAACAAAATGATGTTTGTTTGGGCCACTTAATAGCACTTGCAAGGAATGTGATGCTCTTAGAATCTGAATTTAGGAATATGGTACCAGAACAACTGGAATATTTTTATTAACTTGCAAAAAAAAGGGGGGAGGTTACTTATTTCAGATGCAGCTTTGAATGACTGAATTCAAGCATCAGGGAAAACTCTGCATACCCACTGGTACATCCACTATTGTAAATATAGCATGATCGCTGATGTATATGCTCAACGGTATATTTTTCCTCTTAACAATTCTGCATCAGAACCAGTGCTGGATTGCAGTTTGCTTTTTTAAAAAGTAGATGAAATAGCTGCCAAGCTGCTAGGCACAGCTTTTGAGACTGCAAGTAGATGAATTGGATTGCTAATTCAATTATTTGCACTTTTAAGCTTGCCGCATCCAATTAAAACAGAAATTCTAAACCCAAGGCAGTTCGCTGGTTCATATCGTGAGCCGTGAATTTCACAACGGATTTCCCATCGTCCCTTTTTTTGGGGGGGGGAAGGGGGAATTAATTCAAATTACTGTCCTAGATCTCCACATTCAGTTTCACAACATAGATGTAGCATGTAGTTATTCACTGGTACTATCGTCTATCTCAGGAATCTAAAGGTAGGTTCTGATTTCACCAGAATCCTACAATAATGGAATTTGCAGTCAGGGCTGCAAAACGGGAAATAGAAGATAACTCCTTATCTGTCCTTGCATGTTGGGGGTTTATGAGGAACTTGACGTGAGCAGCCATTTTGAATTCTGCCGAAGGCAAGCTGAAAATACCCATGCTGTAGTCTGTAACTGTTTGCACCTGTCTCCACTAAGCAAGCAGAGTTAAAAATTGAAGCCATGTATGTGTGTCTTTTATCAGATTTTGAAATGTGATGACCCTCTTTATGTGAATTTATAACTCTCTACTGGTCATTTCGCTGAAGGTTGAAAATGCTGCCGTATACAGGTATTCTCGACTGAATGGCCATTTGTACAGTTCAGCAGTGCTGAATAAAGTGGTGTCCAACCCATCCTCCAAGTTACAACCGTCACATTATTCCCCCCCCCCCGACCACATGACTGTGATTTGGGTGCTTGGCAACTGGCTCACACACAACGGTTGCAGTGTCTTGCAGTCACACGATCACAGTTGGCTTCCAATAACATCCATGTGGAAGCCCGCAAGGAAAGTAACAGATCACAATCCTGTGATGTCTGGCTTCCACAACTGTGGTGTAAACGGGTCATAAAATGGGGGTGAAGTCACATCATGATGGATTGCTTTTCCCTGGTCTTTAGTTGCGGTCATTGAGACTACCTTTATATGGAAAAGTTGAAGAACAAATGTGATATCTTGATCCATGATTTTCTCATTCTTTGAAGTGTTTTTGAACTTGTTGGCTCATGTTCTCGTATCGATAATAAATGGTATTTTTTTATAACATGTTTGTTTAAGTATGTAATATATTAAATACCTTTGCTAGGAGAAGATGGTTTTATGTCTTTCTTAGTTTAAAGAGAAGCAGTTCCTTAGTCCCGTAAAGAAACACAAAAGCAACTTCTTGTTAAGATGATTTATATTCCTTGCAGACGGCTGGTCATTTGCATCCTTTTAGAGAATCGTTGAGGCCACTTGGAGGTTTGTCTGTGTCCTCAGGGTCACCTGAGTGGTGCAAATGGGTGTGGAGCCTTCTTGGAACTGCTGAAAGAACTGTGTTGTAGACTGGAGATAGATGATATCGTAGCCCTTCCCCTCTTGAGAGAGAGCTGTTCATTTTTGACATAATGTCCTCTTTGATCCCTCTTTCAAACCAGCAGTCCTCTCTGTCCAAAATGTGGACTTTGCTGTCTTCAAGAGTGGTCTTTCAAATGCAGATGGACTGCTGAATCTTGTCCTGATAGTTGTTGTTGTTCTCCTGTGTTGTGCCATGTGTTTGTGATGTGGTGGTTTTGTTTCCCCAATGTACAGATCTGTGAAGTAAGTGTTTTCTATTTTTGTCTCAGTACAGATTTTGTAGGTTTCCTAATATATAGTATATGTCTGCAGTGTTGAGAGCAATATAGTACAGACCTCCTCGTCCCAGTGACATTCTGAAGTAAGGATATGCATAAATCGTGAAGGGTTAAAGTGAAATTTAAGACTTAGAAACTCTTTTATAGCATCAAAGCTTGCTACTTGATATTTTAGGTATTAATTTTGCTTTCTTGGAGTAATTGTGACCCTTATTGTTACGTTTTACTAAAGAAATAAATGTTTACACTGCCCTCCAACGAAGTGTGACTCATGACATTTTCTGGCCCGGTATTTTTCAACCTTAGCACTTTAAGAGGTGTGGACTTAGAGTGCCTGGGGAACTCTGGGAATTGAAGTCCACACAACTTAAAATTTGCTAAGGTTGAGAAATGCTGGTCTAGGCTAACTCTTCCATACACTGAAGCAAGTAGGAACTACGACTACGTCCTGTTAATCAGAAAAGGTGCTATAAGCTCCTTCCAATACCAACATTGTATGCATATATGACTCTATAAAGAGGGCAGAGAAGAGCAAAAAAGACGATTAGGGGGCTAAAATGTATGATGAACGGTTGCAGGAACTGGGCATGGCTAGGCTAGTCTAGTGAAGAGAAGGACCAGGGGAGACATGATAGCAGTGTTCCAATATTGGGACTGAGGGGCTGCCCCAAAGAGGAGAGTGTCAAGCTATTTTCCAAGGCACCTGAAGGCCAGACAAGGAATAACACGTGGAAACTGAACAAGGAGAGATTCAACCTAGAAGTAAGGAGAACTTTTCTGAAAGTGAGAACAATCAATCCATGGAATAGAGATTGCCTTCAGAAGTTGTGGGAGCTTCATCACTGGAGGCTTTCAAGAAGGGACTGGACTGCCATCTGTCAGAAATGGTGTAGGGTGTCCTGCTTTGGTAGGGGGTTGGATTAGGTGACCTACAAAGTCCCTTCCAATTTTGTTACATATATATATATATATATGTATACATTCATTCATACATACATACATACATACCGTACATACATACATAAATGTATGGAAGTATGTATGAAGTTAAGCATCATTTCTCTAGCTGTAGCTAGTAGAGATTTTATGTGGTTGTGGTCTTCTTCTACCAGTAGATGGTGCCAAAAGAACAATCTTAGACTCAAAAGTTTGAAAAGTGGATAAATACTGTAGCTTTATTTTCTGACTGCCATTCCACAAGATCCAAATGAAAAGCCAGGTATGATTTCTGCCAAGAACCAAACTGTGATAAGAAATAGAGCTGTGGGGGAATGAGATAGTACAGCCTCATTTAGTGTAAGAAGCAGAGATCTATTGATCAGCTTTCTCCATTGTGGACTTTCCAGATCTGTAGGGAGATGCTGCAGCTCACATTTGGTATGACCAAGCTCAATTCTTGCTCCTCTTGAAGAAAAGATGCCACTTGCTCCTTGGGGAACCTCACATTCAAAATGGCTTTATTTTGCCTCCATGTTAAGGGATGACCAAGCTGGTAACCCCAGCTACACAACTCCAGCTAACTTCTAAAAGCTATACAGGGTGGTTGGAGATGGTCAGGATTTTGATGGAATACCGCCTTGACATGGCTAAATTAGGAAGGAAGCAAAAGTCACGTGTTTTCTTCCCCAGGCACCAAAACGGGTCGATTTTTTAAAAATAGAGCAACACCATTTTTAAACCTGGAATTTCATCCCGAAACTCATCCTGGTGTCCGTTTTTGCATTTGGTTTCAAAAAAAAAAATGGCTTCAAAAAACATTTTGGTTCCTGGGCAGCATTTTTCCTGACAGCGGAGTCACGCGTTTTCTTCCCCAGGCACCAAAAAGGCTTGATTTTTAAAAAGTGGAAGCAACACCATTTTTAAACCTGGAATTTCATCCCGAAACTCATCCTGGTGTCCGTTTTTGCATTTGGTTTCAAAAAAAAATTTGGCTTCAAAAAACCTTTTGGTTCCTGGGCAGCATTTTTCCTGACCGCGGAGTCACGCGTTTTCTTCCCCAGGCACCAAAAAGGCTCGATTTTTAAAAAGTGGAAGCAACACCATTTTTAGACATGGAATTTCATCCCGAAACTCATCCTGGTGTCCGTTTCTGCATTTGGTTTCAAAAAAAAAATTGGCTTCAAAAAACCTTTTGGTTCCTCGCAGCATTTTTCGTGACCGCGGAGTCCCGCGTTTTCTTCCCCAGGCACCAAAAAGGCTCGATTTTTAAAAAGTGGAAGCAACACCATTTTTAGACATGGAATTTAATCCCGAAACTCATCCTGGTGTCCGTTTTTGCATTTGGTTTAAAAAAACAAATTTGGCTTCAAAAAACATTGTGGTTCCTGGGCAGCATTTTCCTGCCGAATCACATTCTAGCATCCGTTATTACATTTGAGTCAAAAACAAAATTTTGGTCCTGGGCAGCTTTATTTCTGACCGTGGCATCACGCGTTTTCTTCCTCGGGCAGCAAAAACACTCGATTTTTAATAAAAGCTAATAATAACATTTTTAAGCATGGAATTCCACCCCGAATCACATTCTAGCATCCGTTCTTACATTTGAGTCAAAAAAATTTTTTTGCTCCTGGGCAGCTTTTTTTCTGACCCCGGCATCACACGTTTTCTTCCTCGGGAAGCAAAAACACTCGATTTTTAAAAACAGCTAATAATAACATTTTTAAGCATGGAATTCCACCCCGAATAACATTCTAGCATCCCTTATTACATTTGAGTCAAAAAAATTTTTTGCTCCTGGGCAGCGTTTTTTCTGACCGCGGAATCACGCGTTTTCTTCCTCGGGCATCAAAAACACTCGATTTTTAAAAACAGCTAATAATAACATTTTTAAGCATCGGATTCCACCCCAAATCACATTCTAGCATCCCTTATTACATTTGAGTCAAAAAAAATTTTTTGGTCCTGGGCAGCGTTTTTTTCTGACCGCGGCATCACGCGTTTTCTTCCTCGGGCATCAAAAACACTCGATTTTTAAAAACAGCTAATAATAACATTTTTAAGAATCGAATTCCACCCCGAATCACATTCTAGCATCCTTATTACATTTGAGTCAAAAAAAAATTTTGGTCCTGGGCAGCGTTTTTTCTGACCGCGGAATCACGCGTTTTCTTCCTCGGGCAGCAAAAACACTCGATTTTTAAAAACAGCTAATAATAACATTTTTAAGCATGGAATTCCACCCCGAATCACATTCTAGCATCCCTTATTACATTTGAGTCAAAAAAAAATTTTTGCTCCTGGGCAGCTTTTTTTCTGACCCGGCATTACGCACTTTCTTCCTCGGGCAGCAAAAACACTCGATTTTTAAAAACAGCTAATAATAACATTTTTAAGCATGGAATTCCACCCGAATCACATTCTAGCATCCCTTATTACATCTGAGTCAAAAAATATTTTTTTTTCCTGGGCAGCGTTTTTCCTGACCGCGGCATCATGCGGTTTCTTCCTCGGGCAGGAAAAACACTCGATTTTTAAAAACAGCTAATAATAACATTTTTAAGCATGGAATTCCACCCCAAATCACATTCTAGCATCCCTTGTTACATTTGAGTCAAAAAAAAATTTTTCCTCCTGGGCAGCTTTTTTCTGACCCCGGCATCACGCGTTTTCTTCCTCGGGCATCAAAAACACTCGATTTTTAAAAACAGCTAATAATAACATTGTTAAGCATCGAATTCCACCCCGAATCACATTCTAGCATCCCTTATTACATTTGAGTCAAAAAAAAAATTTTTGCTCCTGGGCAGCGTTTTTTCTGACAGCGGCATCACGCGTTTTCTTCCTCGGACATCAAAAACACTCGATTTTTTAAAACAGCTAATAATAACATTTTTAAGCATGGAATTCCACCCCAAATCACATTCTAGCATCCCTTATTACATTTGAGTCAAAAAAAAATTTTTACTCCTAGGCAGCTTTTTTTCTGACCGCGGCATCATGCGTTTTCTTCCTCGGGCAGCAAAAACACTCGATTTTGAAAAACAGCTAATAATAACATTTTTAAGCATCGAATTCCACCCCGAATCACATTCTAGCATCCCTTATTACATTTGAGTCAAAAAAAAATTTTGCTCCTGGGCAGCTTTTTTTCTGACCCCGGCATCACGCGTTTCTTCCTCGGGAAGCAAAAACACTCGATTTTTAAAAACAGCTAATAATAACATTTTTAAGCATGGAATTCCACCCCGAATCACATTCTAGCATCCCTTATTACATTTGAGTCAAAAAATTTTTTTTGCTCCTGGGCAGCTTTTTTTTCTGACCCCGGCATCACGCGTTTTCTTCCTCGGGAAACAAAAAACACTCGATTTTTAAAAACAGCTAATAATAACATTTTTAAGCATGGAATTCCACCCCGAATCACATTCTAGCATCCGTATTACATTTGTGTCAAAAAAAATTTTTTGGTCCAGGGCAGCGTTTTTTTCTGACCCCGGCATCACGCGTTTTCTTCCTCAGGCATCAAAAACACTCGATTTTTAAAAACAGCTAATAATAACATTTTTAAGCATGGAATTCCACCCCGAATCACATTCTAGCATCCCTTATTACATTTGAGTCAAAAAAAATTTTTTGGTCCTGGGCAGCTTTTTTTTCTGACCGCGGAATCACGCGTTTTCTTCCTCGGGCAGCAAAAACCCTCGATTTTTAAAAACAGCTAATAATAACATTTTTAAGCATGGAATTCCACCCCGAATCACATTCTAGCATCCCTTATTACATTTGAGTCAAAAAAAATGTTTTGGTCCTGGGCAGCGTTTTTTTCTGACCGCGGCATCACGCGTTTTCTTCCTCGGGCATCAAAAACACTCGATTTTTAAAAACAGCTAATAATAACATTTTTAAGCATGGAATTCCACCCCGAATCACATTCTAGCATCCCTTATTACATTTGAGTCAAAAAAAAATTTTTGGTCCTGGGCAGCGTTTTTTCTGACCGCGGCATCACGCGTTTTCTTCCTCGGGCAGCAAAAACACTCATTTTTAAAAACAGCTAATAATAACATTTTTAAGCATGGAATTCCACCCCGAATCACATTCTAGCATCCCTTATTACATTTGAGTCAAAAAAAAATTTTTGCTCCTGGGCAGCGTTTTTTCTGACCGCGGCATCACGCGTTTTCTTCCTCGGGCAGAAAAAACACTCGATTTTGAAAAACAGCTAATAATTACATTTTTAAGCATGGAATTCCACCCCAAATCACATTCTAGCATCCGTTGTTACATTTGAGTCAAAAAAATTTTTGGTCCTGGGCAGC